TGTAAGAGATAAAGTGATTCAAGTCAATACAATTCATATTAATGGTGAACCAATAATGGATAAGAGAAGAGCTATTGAAAAAAATATTATTCAGCCTGCATTGTCCATAAATTCTAATACCACATTTCAAAAGGAAAACTCATTGCCCACTTTATATGATAGGACTGACTATAAGCACTCAAATATATCTAACAACACATCTGAAACTATATGGTGTTTTCAAAGTGGAAATATCCTGTCATCAAATGCTTTATCCAGCCCTATGGAAATTCATAATATAAGTGCAGATCATTATAATAATAATTTAGGCCAACAAGACAATGCAGGTATATGTTTTTATAAGTTATTATGTTATTATGTATTTAAGAATGAAATAAAAGTAAAACAAATATTTCATTATCCACTTTATAACTTTATATTTGGATACTTATTAAGATTTTATAATTTCAGGAGAGCGGAAACTTGATCAGAAAAGTCTTAAGCGTAAAAGAACAGGTAAAGTAATAAATAATATTTGTGAAAATTCTTTTTTAATATATGAAAAGCATAAATGAACACTTACTATATTCATGTGTGGAATAATAGGACATTTGCCAAGGCAGGGTAGGGAATTACTGAAACACATACCAACTGAACCCATGGTTCTTCCAGAAGAGTCAAAATTTGTTTATTGTCAAGCTATCAAAATGTTACATGAATCTGATAATTTATGTTGTGCTGAAGGAAATGTATATCTTAAATCCAATCATATTCCACAAATTTTAAAGAATCTTTTGACTGAAAATAGTGAGGAAGCAACTTTGTTTAGAACATATATTAGAACTATTAATAATTTATTTGCATTCACATCTTTGGGCGTAAAAAGTGACCAAGAACTAGAGAAAAGAAATAAAGGCATTTATACATTTAGAATTCAAGGGCAAGTTTATCATTTTATTAGTGATTTATCAAGTTCAAGAAATCTTCAATTATATTTTTATGACACCGACATAGAGCTTTCTAATCAACTAGATGATTGCCCTAGATTAACTAATAATATAATACAAAAAGTAATGCAAGTACTACAAGAAAATCCATATGCAAAATTTTTTCGCTCTTTGAAAGAAAAGAAAAATATTGAAAATTATCGAATAATTTTACGAGCATCACCAGAGTTAGACCAACGAGTTTTTTTTAATAAACCCACAGTGTCTCAAGTTGCAGCATTATGGGTAGAAGGAGAAGAAAATGGTGAAACAAATAAAAGAGATATAAAAATACATACTCACGGCGGCTACTCATACAATATTGAATATTATTATGGTTGTTATGACCCACTACAATATCCTTTACTATTTCCTTACGGCGAGTTAGGCTGGCATCAAGGTATTCGTAAACAAAAGAAAAGGCGAAACACACATATTGAGAACACAGATGAAACATTAATATCTCCCCTATTGGCACTAAATGCTGAAGAATTACTACAAAGAGAAGAAGAAGGTAAGTTTCTCTAAAAAATAATACATAATCTTGTTTTAAATCACTCTCAAAATCTTAGTACTAACATCTTTGCATAATATTTATGACAGGATTATCCAAATTTGAAAAAAACTCAAACTTTGTTTCGGTAAGGGAATACTATGCATATAAATTACAGATGAGAGATAATGATGGCTCATTTCTTCTTCACTTTGGTAGATTACTACAACAATTTGTTGTTGATATGTATGTCAAACTAGAATCACAGAGGTTAGATTTTTATAAATTACAACAAGATGAAATTAGAAGAGAGTTTTTACAAGGAATTCAAGATTCACTAGCTGCTGGAGAAACAGAAGCTTCTCAAATTGGGCAAAGAACTATTTTGCCAGCATCATTTATAGGAGGACCTAGAAATATGAGAAAAAGATATATAGATGCTATGACTTTAGTTCAAAATTTTGGTAAACCAGATATATTTTTAACAATGACATGTAACCCAAATTGGCCAGAAATAAAAAGATACTTACTAGATAATGAAGAAACACATAATAGACCAGATTTGACTACTAGAGTATTTCGTGCCAAATTAGAAGAATTAAAAAACGAAATTCTAAAAAAACACATTTTCGGAGAAGTTGCCGCTTATACATACGTTATAGAATTTCAAAAAAGAGGTTTACCACATGCACATTTTTTGCTTATATTAAAATCTGAATATAAAATGTACAGACCAGAAGAATATGATAAAATTGTAAGTGCTGAAATTCCTGATAAAAGACGACATCCACATTTGTTCAATATGGTAAAAAAACATATGATGCATGGCCCTTGTGGTGAATTAAATCTTAATAATGTTTGTATGTCTAAGAAAGGCAAATGTAAAAATTTATATCCAAAACAATTTTCAGAAGAAACAACACAAATTGAGAATGCATATCCTAAATATAAACGCAGAAATAATGGTCTAAGTATTAAAGTTCGAGGAAACAAACTAGACAATAGATGGGTTGTTCCATACAATCCTTATTTACTTGCAAAATTCAATTGTCATATAAATGTTGAAATATGTTCAACAATACGTGCAATCAAATATATTTATAAATATATATGTAAAGGACATGATAGAATAAACTTTCATGTGGATACTGATAAATCGAATCACATTGATGAAATACAACAATATAGGGCAGCACGTTGGGTATCCCCTCAAGAAGCTGTTTGGAGAATATTTAGATTTTCAATGGGTGAAATCAAACCTGCAGTCATTCAATTGCCCGTCCATTTAGAGAATTATCAAACAATAAGCTTTAGAAAAAAATATCGATTGGATAACATAGTGAATAATCCTAGAAATAAAAAAACTATGCTAACTGAATTTTTTCATATGAATAGTACAAATTCTGAAGCTCAAGCGCTAAATTTAACTTACATAGAATTTCCACAACATTTTGTTTGGTTACCTGATGAAAAACGTTGGAAAAAACGTGTTCGAGGGGATGTTGTTGCTAGAATGAGTACAGTGCATCCATCTGAAGGAGAAAGATATTACTTAAAGTTACTTTTAAAAAAAGTGAGAGGTCCAAAATCATATTTAGATCTAAGAACTTATGGTGGAAAAATTAATACAACATTGCGTGAATCAGCATTAATGAGAGGTTTGCTCGTTGATGATAATAGTCAAGATAATTGTCTTCAAGAAGCTTCAATGTTTAACATGCCCTATGAACTCAGAAGACTATTCGCAACTTTATTAGTACACTCATGCCCAGCAGATCCTAAACGATTGTGGCTAAAATATGAAGAAGCCATGTCTGAGGATTTTATTAGATGTAAAAACTTGAGTTCTATTGAAATTAGAAAAAAAGTATTAAATCAAATAAATGGGTTTTTGGAATCAATGGGTAAAGATATAGCCTCATTTAACTTAGTTCCTACTGATTTTTTATCAATTGATTCTAAAAAGCAAACACGAGAATTAATAGCCGAAAAAAACATAATTGTGAAAGAAGAAGATTTAAGCTGTAAAAATTTACTAAATAAAAAACAGAAAAAAATATACAACATTATTTTAGACCGAATATATCAAAACAAGAGTGGAGCATTTTTTATTGATGGTCCTGGAGGCACCGGTAAATCATTTTTGTATAGAGCGTTGCTTGCAGATGTTAGATCTAAGGGTTATTTGGCATTAGCAACAGCAACGTCTGGTATAGCAGCATCAGTTTTACCTGGTGGTAGAACCGCTCACTCTCGGTTTAAAATACCAATAGATATTACAAAAGAAAATAGCTGCAATATGAGTAAACAAAGTAGTCTTGCTACATTACTTAAAGAAAGTAAACTAATTATATGGGATGAAGCACCCATGGCAAAAAGATCATCTATTGAAGCACTTAATGATCTGCTGAAAGATTTGTTAGACTCAGATGAGATATTTGGTGGAAAGGTAATTGTTCTAGGAGGAGATTTTAGACAAATTTTACCTGTTGTTCGTAGAGGAAATAAATCGGACACTATCAATGCATGCATGATAAACTCCCCATTGTGGCCACTTCTTGAAAAATATCAGCTCACTGAAAATATGAGAGCGAAGGATGATCCATTATTTACTGAATTTTTGCTTAGAGTGGGCAATGGTATTGATAATGATAAAATCGATAATACAATAACAATTCCTAAATCAATTTTGTTGCCATATGAGGATGATGTAACAAGTTTGAATAAGCTCATAGACTTAGTATATCAAAATAAATATTGGAATAATCAAAATAACAAAATATCATTAAATAGAGCAATTCTTACCACAAAAAATAGATTTGTGGATGAAATTAATGATAAACTTATTGATAGTTTTCCCGGTGAAATGGTTGAGTATACAAGTTTTGATGAAGTTTTGAATCCATCAGACCAAGGACAATATGAAGATATAATCAATTGTCTAACACCAAGTGGCTTACCTCCACATAGATTGAAGCTAAAAATTAATGCACCAATAATTTTATTACGAAATTTAGATCCCACAGAAGGACTCTGTAATGGCACAAGATTAATTTGTAAGAATTTAACTCGTAATGTAATACATGCAGAAATAGCGGTTGGAGAATTTCAAGGTAAAAATGTTTTTATACATAGAATTCCAATGCAACCTCCAAGTGACGAACAATATCCAGTTCCCTACAAAAGAACTCAATTTCCAGTTCGATTGTGTTTTGCAATGACAATAAACAAAGCTCAAGGACAAACATTAGATTTTGTTGGAATATACATAAAAGAACCTGTATTTGCACATGGCCAACTTTATGTTGCACTTTCTCGTGCAAGGACTGCTTCTAGCGTTAAGATATTAATTAAACCACCATTCTACGAAAAAACTCCGAAAAACAAAACTAAAAACATCGTGTATTCTGAAGTACTTCAAGATTCAACAATAAAATTAAATTTGTAAGTAACTTTACCTCCTTAGAATCATCTCATTTTAAGTTATTCTTCAGTATTATTTTATGTACAACGCATCTAAAAAATGACTCACATTTTTTCAGGTCATAATGTCTCGAAAATACTTTTCAATTAAGGAAGTGAATGACCAATTAGATGGCTGGACTGTAGCTGTGCAAGTTGTCGAAAGAAGTCATACATTGATCAGTCGCAAGAACAATGATGGACTGCCATTTATCCGATTCGTGCTCACCGATGCGGAGGTAATTATCATTGATTTTTTTTTAATGCTATGTTAATTTTATTTCAATTTTTTTTTACCTTTTATTTACACTTTTAACCAATTCCTTATCCTTATAAATAGATATATTATCTTAAATAAGAAAAAAAAAAATAAAAACATACATTAACAAGTGCTACATTTTTTCTGAAAACGTACAGTAATCGCCATCAAAGGCCAAATAGAGGCTTAATTTAAACTACTATTAATCTTGAAGTGCTTTTTTGCTCTGTTTTTTGAACATATAGTAGTTTGGAGTTTTGCTATTCTGATCAGTTACATATTTATTCGTCAAATTTCAAATACATATGTTTATTAATTTTTAATTAATGTGTACATTTTCAGGGGACATTAGTTTCAGCAGTGGTGTTTGGGGATAACATCAGATACTTTGACGATTTACTGATGCCATTCAAAAGATATTATGTATCAAATGCAGCAGTAAAAGTAGTCTTACCCATGTACAAGATTGGCAGCTATCCCTACAGTTGGACTATTAAAAGCAAAACACCTGTGGAAGAAATTGCAGAACCTATTCCACCAATGCTTCCATGTCCCATCGAGCTAACAAACTTTAAGCATCTTTTCAAATATGCTGAGACAGAGATTGTGCAGAGTACGTATACTATATTTATGTTTTTTCGCATTATTTTCTAAACAAAGATTAACCAAACACATTTCAAACAGATGTCATGGGGGTTGTTGTGCATGTATTCCCACTTAAAGCTGGCAAAAACCAAACACGTGACATTGTCATTGTCAATGAAGAGTAAGCCATAGTACATTTTATATATTTTTAAAAATTTAGCTCAATTATCTAATTTTTTCTCTCATCATGTAAAACAGAAAAATATGCATGTTGTTAACGTTATGGAGCGATTACTGCCTACATGAAGGAAGCCAACTTGCAAACACAATGGCAAGTTGCAATGTCATTGTTGCCATGAGAGTCAAAGTTACTACTTTTAACAGTGAGTTAATTTTTATAATCTACTTATATATTTTATTTTAAATAAGATACACACATTTAACTATTCTTTTTATCATTTTATGTAATTAAAATATAATCTTTGCAGATTTGTCACTAAGCACTCAAATCAATCAAAACGCAACTGGCATCTTGATCAATCCTCCATTGCCACATGTCAATTCTT